TTTTTTAAATGTCTTTTCAAATATAAGTAGATTTTTATTAGTTTTCTTATACGACGTCATTCGGAGGTTATTATAATACGCGTTTTTACAATTTTTACAAATTTAAATAATTTTTCATTCAACATTTTCAATCCCAGAACTGGTTTGACATTTCATTGTCCCAGCAGCTGTGTCGATGCGTGTACCTATATTCTTCTACCATGCAGCCATAGATGCATCAACGATTGCGAACATTGATATTTCAAATTCTTAAAATTGTTTTTATCAAAAATTAATACATTTTTATATATTTTCTTATACGATGCAAATCGGAGGTTGTTACAATATGCATTTCTCAACAATTTTCACAAATTTTAATAAATTTTCATTCAACATTTTCAATTCCAAAATTGGTTTGACAGTCCATTTTCCCAGCAGCTGTGCCGATGCATCTACCTATATTCTTCTACCATGGCTGAATATAAAGTCTTATAGCATGTTCACATACACGAAATCCACTGTATCCATAAACATTATTCACCACTGGATATAAAACGTCTAGAGTATTATGTTAACTATTCGCAGTACATGTTTCAATAATATAGAAAAGAAGAAGACTCAAATAATAACCACATTTATTTTTTATTCTGTCTCTCTCTCTCTCTTCATTGGTTAAACCTACTGTTTACACAAGACAAATACACTTAAATCAGAGTTGTATTTTTCCTCCACGTATATACTGGACTCATGGTAGAATACAGGTAGACGAATCAACACTGCTGCTGAGACAATGAACTGTCAAACCAATTTGAAAATTTTCAATGAAAAAAAATTGTTGAAATTTGTAATTTTTTGAAAATGCATATAATAACCTCCGATTGCCTTCATATTCGAAAACATACAAAAATCTACATATTTTTGAAAGAAAAAAACGTTCCCAAGGGTTGATGCATCTACCGATATTCTTCTACCATGTACTGGACATGGTACAATAAAAAGGTAAAGTAGAGCTACCAGCTGATTACAATTTTTTAATGTGTGTGCCCGACTTCTGCCAATTTTGTGTATGTATTCATTGTTTAGAAAAATAAAAACAAAATATTTTCAAAATCAATGATTGGAAGAAACGTAGATTGTGGAGCGCGCTTTGAAGATATTAACCAGGTTTGCCATGGAATTAAATGATTGTACACTCTGTATAATATTTTTGAAGGAAAATTCGGGCAATTCTATCATCTTTCGTTTTATTAAAGTCATTTAAAAAGGAGGAAAAATGTGAAATAATTGAAAACAAAGACCTCATGGCTGTATTTCTGTAGTTTTATGAAGCTGTTCTACCTCCTTATTGTACCATGGTACTAGAAATTCGGCGTAAAAAATTGTTGACGTAACAAATAAAATTATTACAAAAAAAACAAACAAAAAGAATAAATAGTAGAAGAAATAGTAGTAAAAAATAAATGGTAGAATTAAGAAGGTAACCTTGGGTAATCATATGTTTACAATATTTTCAAAATTATAACTTTAACGACATTTCATTGTGAAATAATATATCCATCGCAGAATCAAGGAGGTAAGGTCATGCTATCATATGTTTACAATTTTTTCAAAAAATTTTCATTTGACAACATCTCATTGTCAAAATGTATATTTATTAATCCATAGTACATATACAAATCAGAGATGGGAACCTACTTTTCATGTAGTGAACTTTGACAAGGTAAATTACATTAAATGCAAAAATGGGAATGCTTATTTGAAATGGCTTTACCTTATTAATTTTACCATGTGTCACACAGGCAACATTTATTTTGGTTTTTTGAACTCAATTATAAACGCAGGAAAATAATTTTTCTTATTTAAAAATTCATAAAATCCCTCCCACTGTGCCCATTGTGTGTGTGTTGCCCAATTGTGCGTGTTATCAGCGACTGATAATAGCGCAGGCATGCTGTTGGTCTTGTGACTAAACGGTTTTTCATTGTGCGTGCGAGCCTATTTTTTCGTAAGTGGCCATGCAACGAATGCGTGAACTGTGTTTCCGCCCAAAATATTTTTGTATCTCACAAAAAAACTGATGAAATTGCTGTTGAAAATTATGCTGGCCCATCAAAAAACTACCACTATTTGTTTATACAAAACTAAAAGTTCACTAAAAAAAATATTAATTTATAAACTTTTAGTGCAGTTTGTTAGTTTAAATAGTCGCTTTTTTAGTTTTTAGTATCAGTCACTAATTATTAAACAAATATTTAAAACAAATAACCGAAGGGAAGGGAATAGGGCAACAGAAATTCTTACGCAGTTTGGAGGAAAAAAGAAAAATTTCAGTGAAAATTGTAAAAGTTTGGTTGGAGCCCAAAAATTTTTGACTTTTTCAAAAAATTACCCCTTTAATATGTATTTGATGAGGATCCCCATTTGGAATAGGCTCACAGACGTTTTCCCTCTGTCCACAAATTGGACATTGTAAACATTCACGTTAACCCATTTCATTGTTTATCTATTGTTGTGCCATGAAGAAAATCTATATTTTATTGTTGTTTTTCAAATTCACTTTTTCTCCATAATAAAACTGGGTTATTTGAAAGATCCCTTTCAATAATAGTTTTAAATAAAAAGAAGTGATTTTGACAACTTTTCTATAAGTTCATACAAATTTTCTTATAAAAGAGTGCCACAACTTCGTATAAAACTGATGCATTTTAGCAACTTATTTTATGAGAAAAGTTTATTTTTTACCCGGAGTTTACAAAAAGCAACTGAGTTTGTGTATTACTTGTCAAAAGAACGAAGTTTGCAAGAGTGACGTACAGACAGCTGATCATAATCATAATATTTTGAATAAAAAACATAAAATCCTTCATGTTTTTTGTTCTTTGTATGTCCTTGTCTTTATATATTTGTATAATTTGTTTAATATATAAAAAACATCACATCTTGTCTTTGAAAATATATAATTTTGTATAAGGTAAAGAAATGTAACTCTGATTCCCTACAGTCATACAATCTCTCATATGTAAGCGCCAATTTAGCAACTCTTCTTTACAGAACTATTATAATATTTTTAAATTTTTATGAAAAATTATTTTCTTATAATTAAATTTCTTTATTTTTACATAAATGTCTATAAAACAACGTTTTTTAAAGAGAAATTGATAATTTCTTTAATTTTCTCTATATTTATTAATATCACATGCAACTCTGTACATCAGCCTTACACCAAGAATTGGCAACCCTGCTACACGCCTTGCTGTCAAGGCATTCATGTATTTCTGAACACTTCCCAAGCAAGTTTGACAACTTGTGCATGGGGGCACGAGTTTTTTCATTTTCCTTTCACATTCACAAGAATCAGCATCATTTTTTTAAGATATTGGAGTTTCATACATTTTCTGGCTACAAATTACTGTCCAATGCACGCTCATTCGTTTAACAATTGTATACCAGAACTTTTGAGTGCTATTTTGTGGACAAAGAGAAAATTTTGGAATTAGTAAAAGGAATTATTGGTTGGAGCCTCCAACTCGTGGAAGTTTTACCATAATTTCATTTCAACAAATTAATATAATAGTAAGATGTGTTCGCCATATTTTTAGATGTAATTTCAATTTGATAAATTACATCTGTTGCACCTGGCGAAAGAGTAAATTAAGTAATATTTAATAACGTGTTGAGATAGTTTAACAAGTCGCAACATGTTTTGAGGTATTACAACAAGACAATTTCAGGGGAAAATTCCACGTGGAATTCGAGCTGTTATCATTGAAAATTTCGTGAAAGAACTGAACTTGTGCAATGAGTAAATGCAGGGCAGCAAATGACCATTGAAGGGTTATTTACTTAGATTAATTTTTATTTAACTGATTTCATAATTTTAGTTGTTTCCGGAAGTTTGTTAAATGGCCAGATTCTTTTCTGGAAAATGCTCTAGAACGTATTGATTATCTGTTGTAGAAGATGCACCCTTTTATCCTGCTCTTTTCCAAAGCTCGTTTCTTCCACCATGAACTTTTTTGGTAACTTAATCACGTACAAGCTGTCCAATGCACGCTCATTTGTTTAAAAATTTACCCCAGAATATTTGAGTGCTATTTTATGGACACAGAGAAATCTGGAATTTTAATTTTTAATCCAAGTTTCATTTCGACAATTGCCTGTATGACATGGTTTAAATATTCGCCATATTTTGGTTGTAATTGAGCATACAATTGCAATTAATGCACCTGGCGAAAGATTAAACAAAATGTAATATTTTGATAACGTATTGATGTGTAATGAAATTAGCATCAATACGTTCCGAAGTATTGCAACAATTATGCTGTTCTTTTTTAGGTATTTCAGGCTACTTCTACGTGAGAACGAGATTAGATCAAAAGTATAGCTGGAGTTGAATCTTCATATTTTCTGTAACATTTTCGTATTTAACATTCACCATAAAATGAGGTTATATTTGTTCGTACCGACGTCTAGGAATATTGAAATGAATCTGCATCAGTAAGGAACCTTTTGAAATTGAATACTTTAGATTCATTTAAAATAACGTTATTTTGGCCAGGCCTGTTTTATGAAACATCACGAGGTTTGTTTTATTTTACGTATCTAAAATATAAATGCTTCAAATTTAGATCTACTATTTCTAGAAACTTTTGTATGGGCTACTGGATTATATACGAAACTAGCCAATGCCTTAGAGAATATGTTTCTTAGAATCTGAAAAATTTTGCAATTGGTCCAAAACCTTTATTTGACATTAAGATATACAAAGTAACCCAGACAACTCGATTAAAAAAATATCAAGTCACTAAAGCCGGAGTGGGTCAGTATATGTAGACTATGCCTAACATAATTAACGCCCTATTATTGCCTTTGTTAGGTCTTACTTCACACATCTTTCAACTAAAATGGCTTGTTTATCTCTTTTTTCTCTTTCATATTGGAACAAACTTTAGTATATCTTACCTTTGCCGGTAACTCCAGATAGTTAATACCTCTCCCCCACACTGCTATAATAAACATAATTCTTGTAAATGTTTTTTTTTTTTATATTTTCTAGATATTTTTAAAAAATAACTTAAAATTATTTTATTTCTTTCCTTGCTTTTTTGTTTTCTATTACTTTTCTTAAAATTACTTAAAATCTATCATAAATCTATTTCAAAGTCCCCGCTGAACTCAGCAGCTTCTTGAGGTCCTCATCATTTTCAATGGCTTTTTGTACGGCCAACATAACCTGTGACTCCAACGGTGAGGTTTGATCATAGCCAATGGGGAAACGGCTGACTTTATTTGCCAATGCCAACAATTTGGGTTTGCTGGCCAAAAAATCTTCAATTTTCTTGGGTGGTATTTTAGTTACTCGGGCCAATTGTTTGACATGGGGTATCAACATTTTGGGTGTATTTAAATGGACCACATTTGATTCCACTGCTGGAGGGGGAGGGGCGGGAGTAGTTGTTGTGGTGGTGGTTGTAGATGTGGTACTCGTTGTTTCACGCCGAAGAGGCACTGGGTAGTTATATGGTATAACTGGTATATTGTTATTGTTGTCATTGCTAAAATCTTGTGCTTTCAGATCTTCCTTTTCCCCTTCAACCTTTTTACCCTGAATTGTCAGACGACTAACCTCATTGTATTCGGGATTTTGTTTGGCATTTTTATGCCACAAATTATTCAAATGCATAAACTTGGCAATACGTTCCCAAAGCCCCGGCTTGCTTTCTTTTAAATCATTCAGTTTCTTTAGAATTTTCGGAGCTTTGCGTGGTTTGGCTGTGGTGGTTGTAACCACTTCATCTTCTGAGCGCATTTCATAGTCATCAATGGAGTCGGCATCATTTATTACCACCAGTCCCTCATCGTTGATCTTTAAGGGTCCCTCAATGTCCCGCAAATTAATGGTTTCCCCCTCTTCATTATCATCATAATCGTCGTTGTCATCCTTATCAGAGCTATCGGTATAATCTGCCGACTCAATGTAGGCTTTCATCAAGGCCACACCCTGTTCATTGGCAGTTAGTTTCCTAATATATTCCAATGTCTCATGGGGACTGGAGGTACCCAAGAGTTGTCCCAATTCCGAGATACTGGGTATTTCATCTAGGCTTTTGAGTCCTAATTTATTTTGGGCAATATCCAAAAGTTCCCGAGGAAATTCATCATCCGTTACAAAGGGTACGGTATCGATTTTGAATTTATTGGAATTCTTTGGAGTGGGTTTTGGTGTTGTTGTTGTAGTGGTTGTGGTGCTAGTGGTTGATGTTGAAGAGGTCGTCGTGGTGGTGGTTGGAGCCTCTGTTGTTGTGGTGGTCGTCGTGCTTCGTGCCGCCTGAAACCTACTTTTAGGCCATGTATTTATGGAAATAATTTGACTTGGCGGTGGTGGTGGTATAATGTGATACCTTGGAAAGTGCTGCCACAGGGGAAAAGGTGGCGGTGGTGGTAATCTTAGCTTTGTGGGATAATTTAGGGAAACTTTATTCGGTTGCTGTGGTACTGGTGGAGTCTGTGCTGGTGCTACCAATTTATCGGTATCCACAATAACCGCACTGTCTTGCCCATAGAATTTTGGCACAAAAGCATAGCGAGCTTCGGCAAGCTTAAGCAGCAGCAATGACAAGCATAAACTCTGAAATTGAAAGAAAGGAAAAGGAATTATGAAATTTGTCGAATACAGTAATGAAATCTTAATTATTCTGCAAAAGACATGGATGATTTAAAATTGGAAATTAAGCAGTACATGCCGGGGCTAAATTTGTTATTTGATATTGAAATAATATAATTCTATTTTAGCTTGATTTACTTAAAAATTTCTGTAGAAATACCTAAATATCGAATGTTACAGATGAACACCAGGTTCTACTAAAAAAATGGTCATATGGAAATTGATTTCGATCGAACCTCTTTCGATCTAATGCAAGAATTTGGCCCCTTTATTCAAACATATTCAAACGTAGATATTATTCAAACGTAGATATTCAAAAATATACATATTTACGAAAATTGATCTGTTCGAGAACTGCAAAAGTGTAAAATTTTATTCTACGACAGCCGATTTTCGAAGAAAGTTGCCGAAATAGTAGGTTCTCGCAGGTACTGGAATAGAGTAAGCGTTCTTAAAATCTCTATATACAAATTTTTTTTTAATATTGTTGAAGTATTTTCAGAATATTTTGGTAATATTTCTAATATATTTTTTATTTCTTATATAAATTTTAAAAATGCAATATTTTCATATTTAAGATGATTTGTCTACAGTTATAATTTTTTTATTTAAAAATATTTCAAAATTTATTTCACTTATATTTACCTTTATAAACATGTTCGACACTTTTCCTACTATGTTCACAATTCCTAATTTTTTCCAAATTTAATTATATTTTTTCTCCGCTACTCCGCTCTTAGAACATCTCTATCTTCTTTGATGGCAGTTGAAGGACTACTGAATATTTTCGTTTTTCCAAAAATCTCTCAATGCTACCTTAAGCCATGTCTTTGGCATATTCATCATCAACGTTGGCGGCCACCATATGTGATAGACAGGCTGCCTATTTAACAGTCAGACAAGCAAGCATTCAGCCAGATCAATAGATTGATGGCGGCCGCACACATAATGACCTGAATTAGGGTTGTGCCCTTACGGCAAACCATTTCTTTTCTTCGTATTTCCCTTTTTTATAAATGAACTTAATTTTCTTTCTTTCTTCCACACCCACTCTCTTCAGACTAACGCTTGTTCACTCTTGCCACCAGCAACTCCTCCGTTTTCTTTTTTTGGGAATTGCCTTTTTGGAATTTTCTTCTCAAGGAAATGCTATCCATTTTAACACATCTTTTACACATTAATTTTATTGCTATGGCATTCGCTGCGCTTGTCCGTGTTTCTTGTTGTTGTTGCTGTTATTGTGGCTCAATTTATGGCTTGTAGTATTTAAAAATTCTTCTCTCGATCTCCCATTGGGTTTTCCAGCTAATAATCTTATAAAGATTTACAGGTAGGTCGACGACATCCACACCGAAGATAGATGCCCACATTTTATTTTCCTTTTCGAAGCGAGAACAAGATCGTTTCGTGTCAAGCACACGTTCGTTATGGCCTTATGAGGGTGGTATAAACAGTTCGTGGAAACCGCTAGGAATTCAGGGAAGAGATTAGAGAAAAAAATTGAAGAAATTCTAGAACTGGAGGAGATTTTCTTCGCAGGCTTAAAATATATTTTTCGAATACCATTGGCCACAAGGTGAAGAAGATTTGAAGAACTGCGTGGATTTGAATTTTAGGAATATTTTTGAAAGAATGAAATTTCTAATTTGTTTTAAAAATTGTTGATGAATATTAGGCAGCCATAATCATAGATTTTTTTAAATATTTTTAGAAATTATAGGAGCAGCTATAATAATGGATTTTATGATTTTTTTATGCATTTGTGTGTAACAGCCAAAAGAAAACGAGATGGACCCATAGTTCCTTATGATGATCTGCATAGAATCACATTCGGAATAGATTTATGCATGTCTGTCCGTCTGTCTATGTATTTTTGTAAACAAAGTACAGGTCGCATTTATTGCCCGATCCAGATGAAATTTTGCACAAATCATTGTTTTAACCCAAGGACGAACCCTATTGAAATTGGAGATAATCGGTCGAAATCTAGATATAGCTCCCATATATATCTTCGACCAATTTGCCTTTTATTGTGCACCAAGCGTGTAATATTTGCCCAAATGGGATGGAATTTTGCACATACGACCAAATTAGGCCTGAAAATAAATATGCCAAATTTTATCGAAATCGGTTCTGATATAGCTATAGCTACCATATGTATTATTCATCCGATTTGTTATTTTTGTCCTCCGCAGCCGTAATAAGCATTCTGTAACAACGATCTTTGGGAAATCATCATCAAATACTGCTTAGAAATATATTTCCCAAATGTAATCGGGATCGGTTTGGATTTGGATATAGCTCCCATATATATCTTTGTCCGATCTACCTTTGTTGTACACCAAACGTGTAATATTAGCCCAAATGGGATAGAATTTGGCACATACGATCAAATTAAGTCTAGAAACAAGTATTTCAAATTCAGGGAAAATCGGTTCACATATAACTATAACTCCCATATATATTGTTCATCCGATTTGTTAAATTTGTCCTGCACAGCCGCAATATGCACTTCGTAGTAACAATATTATGGGAAATATATCAGTAATACCCTTGCCAAATTTTATCGAGATCGGTTCAGATTTGGATATAGCTTCCACACATATATCTTTATCCGATTTCAAGCTAATTTCTAAATGGGTAATACAAGCCCGAACTGAAAGACACAAATGCCTCGGCAAATTTTCTTCTTGCAATCACCTCTCTTTGCGGGGATTTATTAATTTTTTTAATATTATTTATTTATTTAAAAACATGTTTATTTTGAAATTGGAATTATGCTTTTCGGTTAATTTTTAATATCGGCAGATTAATTTTGCTTATGACCCACAAATTGTTTTGTTTTGACAAATCAGTTGATTTGCTTGCAAGTTTATGCAAGGTTTCCGTTTGTTTACTTTTCACCATTTTCTTTAAAAAGAGAATAAAACCACCTTACTCTCTCAGAAAGATGCTGGACAACTCCTGCAGAAAAAGCAAGGGCTGCAGTAATCGTCAATTTTTAAGAACATTTTTAAAGGAAGAAATTTTTGATTTTTAAAAATATTTTTTTTTTTTTGAATATTAGGGCGGCAATAATCGTGCATTTTTAGAAGTGTCTTTAAAGGATAAATTTACAAATCTTTTTTGAATTTTTTTTAATTTATTTTTTGTAGGATAAAAATATATTTGACGAATACTAGAGCAGCAATAATCTAATATTTTGAAAAATATTAGACCTAGATTTTAGTCTATGGAATTTAAAGACTTTTTTTATCTTTAGAGCAGCTTTAACCGTTTACGAATATATTTCAGTTGTTTAAGGGACTATTAGAACATCTCTAATTGTGTATTTTATAAAATTGTTTTGTAGATTGATCTCTTTTCTCAAAAAAGACAAAAATTCTACTGTTTTCCTTTGTCCTGAGATTGTATTGCATTTCCTGTGCTATAATCTAATAACTCAATTTTCCTTTGGTATACCATATCACCATTCAAACATTTACCTCTACAATTAACATGATGTCGACCTTTATGGTCGAATTCCCTTTGAAGATTTTCAAATTTCATTTCCCACATCTCCGCACTCTACATCCCATTTTGTTACACACAAATATTTGAAGAGGCATTTTCAGTTTGTTTGCCCAGCTCTTTCTTTGTTCCAACACGCAAAGCATCTTTTTTTGGGAAAACATCAAAAGGCCGACGCCTACTATTCATACACGAGATTTCTATGTTTTACATCTCAAATTACAGTTTTTTCTTGGGTTCATCTAAAGTGTTTTTTTTTGTTACGAACATCTGCATACGGGGATTAGTTGAGGACCATGATGGAGATTTTTGAAAATAAGCCGTCTAGGGCTAATGGTATCTTGGTAATTGGGTCATAAAATACGCACAGGTAGCTGTACATTCTTGCTTAGAAATTAGACAGGGACGTAGCAACAAAGAGGGGTGTTTCAATTTTATTCCTTCTTCGATTTGCATTTTTAATGATGTTTAGATTTTTTTTTTTATTTTTTCCATAGTTTGTTCAACAAACTAAACATTTATTTACTTTCTTGTTGTATGTATTAAATAACAAAATTAAATTCTTAATCGTTTTTTTTGTGTGTATAATAAGAAAGACATTTTACTGGTCATATACGTTTTGTATGCAATTTGAAAAGAACTCAAGCATAGTTAACACAAGAATTTAAAATTGTAAAGCCTGGTTTTCAAAATACGAATACAATACAATACAAAACCTTCGTATATCTCTCTTCTTTAAGAAACAAATATAGAACTATTTACATATAAAACTTACTTATTAAATTTGCCATAAAGGATATTCAATATTAAAGCAATAAAAATCTATTGAAAATCCTTTATATCCGACAAACAAAAAAAAAAATGTGATAACTTAAAATTAAAATTGGAACTGAATTCAATTCTCTCGCCAAAAAATTTCAATTGAATTTCACTTTCCAATAGAAAAAATTAAAAACAAAATGTAATTGTGTTCTATTAAGGAATATAGGAGCTATGTTGTTGTTTAGAATTATGAAGCCTTCGATACACCAACCAAAGCTGGTCTTATGACACGTTCATGTAATTTGTAACCCAATTTGGTGACTTCCACAACGGTGTCGGGTTCAACGGAGGCATCGATCTTTGCAAGACAAGAGAAGGGAATAGAATATGTTAGGAGAAATACAAAACATATTGGAATAAAGACTTACCTTTTGGAATAGAGCTTCATGCATATTGGGATTGAATTTTTCATTCAGTGGATTCATGGGTTCCAAGCCGTGGCGTTTGAACACTTGCAGCAACGATGCATTTGTCATTGTAAGACCTTCGTACAAGTTTTTCAGATGGGGATTGGATTCCAACTAAAAATATAATGAAAAAATAAATTAATATCATATATTTTTATATAGAATCTTTGCTGAGTTGAGTTTCAGCAAAGAAAAACTTTTTTGAATTGAGTTTTTTGTAAGCAAATTCCACCGAATTGTGTTTTTTTTCCTCTGTATTTTTTTTTTTTTTTTTTTTTATATTCATGATTTTTTTAAGAGAAAACTACGCAACACTTTCTTCTTCTGGATTATTTTTTCTACATAAAACGTTCGATTTAAGTTTTTCCATAGAAAAAACTCATTTAATAATTTTTTTATAGAAAAATTGCATGGAGATAAAATTTTCTACAGAAAAGTAATCGGAGATAAAATTTTAGATACAGAAAATTCTTGAAATCGAGCTTTTTTAAGAAGCTGACTGAAATGAGTTTTCTTTCTCATTAGTTATCCTTTCGTTCTGAGAAACTTCGCCAAAAATAAATATTTCTTTAGAAACAATTTTTTTCAGAAGAGAACTTTTGAGGAGATTCAATAGAAAATTTGCTAGAAAGAATGTCTGTTACTAGAAAAAGCCAATCTGACAAAATACATTTAAGGAAACTTCAACTTAGAAATGTTCTTCGAAAATTTGTAATTAAATTTGCCACAATAGTTTGTATTGTGTATAGGATAATTGGTATTGCCTAAAACTCCATCCTCCTTCCCACTAACAATAGAATTTCCAAATGTAATTGAGGAGAGGAAATATTCCTCTTTAAGCAGTTAAAATTTCTATATTTTGCTCGATTCACCATTTTACGTAACAATGACTCCCGGAATATACGTAATAATATTCAAAACACCTACTCAATTTAAATATTTTTAATTATTAGTAGTTTATATTATTTTCCTCACCTGATCTTGTGGCACAGCCTTGGTTGCATGACCCAAAATATCGGCAACTTCCAGCAAATCTTTGCAGAACGATTGAATGCCAAAGATTTTGGCATCGGCAATCTGTTTGTTCAAACGCACACGCAAGTTTTCACTATCGGCCAGGGAGCGACGATATTTGTCCATAAGTTCATCATTCTTTTCCTTCAAAGTGGTGACTTCTTTGTTTACTGTCTCCAAATCGGCGGTCAATTTCTTTAACTGTTCAGCAGAATCTTCTGTCGAAGCGCCTTCAGCCTTTTGTTCAGCAGTCTTTTCAGTGCTATATAAACGGCCAACAGCCGCTGAGAAGCAACTAGAAAATAAGGAATTACATTATCAATATTATTTTCATACACAAACATTAGGGATCATGTAAATTATGCGGGTTAATTTATTACGTCACATCACATCATCATATTTTTGTCTTATCACAAGTCAGCCGTGCCGTGCTTGCTGTTTCTTGATTTACGCAAAACTTGCTAACTTTTGGTCACACTAATGCGGCTCAGCCATTTACCTTTTCCATTGTGTTTGTTGGCCCAACAATGAGATAAAGCGACTAGTTTGAGCATTAACAATTTGCTTGGCTGCCATTTTTATACTTTTCCACTGGTATTTAATTAAAAAACTTTGATTTTATTTGATAATTTCCTCTACAAAAGAAAACCAATTCGAGCCTCCTCGTCCAATAAGTCAATGTGATTCGTTTGACAGCTGAGAGCCAGCATGATTTTGACACATGAGTTGGTGAGAGTGAGATGTTGAAAAAGAAACTGGATTTAGTGGAAACGTAACGTAGGCAAAAGCGACCGTTATATTAGAAACCAAACGACTAGTTTTATACGCTGAAGCAACGTTTACATAGCCGTGACTAAACGCATTGTGACCAAACAGAAGATTTGCTTTCTTAGTTGTGTTCCAGTACTTTTTTAGTAGTAAAACTAGCAGAAGAGAGAGAGAGAGAGCAGTTCGAAATGTCATTCTCATTTAGGTTTGCTCAAAAAATAAAGGGAACGGAAAATTAGCAGAAATGCGATAAAATGTCAAAATTCAAAATTCCAAAAGTAAACAGCCTAAATCGGACTGGTGAAACCTTACTGAAAAGAGCGCCAACATTTAAAAAATGAGTATTGAAGACGATAAGTTAAAATTAATAATTTATAATAATAATTAATAATCTGATTCCTCATTCAGCCAGTCCTCTTCACTGCTGGAATCATCCAAAAGTGAATACATCAGTTGCTCCATATTTTCTCTTTTTGTTTTTTGCACGACAAATATTAGTTTTTCCTTTAGTTTTCAAGTTGATCATTTTCTTTATTGAAATGTATCAATACATTTTTCAACCTTGTTAGCCCTGCCAATTAAATGTCAAATTTACAATATGCACATTTCTGCTCGGCCAAATTTATGTAGCTAAAACAAGCAGAAATGTGCACCACTCAGCGCCATTTTTTTCTCGAGAGAGCTGCAAGTTTTGCTAGTTTTTGGAGTACGGGAACGCGTTGTAGCAGAATTAGTGCTAATTAGTACTAATTTGCAGGTTTTTGAAAACAACTATATTTAATTCATTTATGTCAAATTACCCAGATAGAACACTTTAGGCTATATATTCTAAAAAGTCGTATTTGGGATGTTATTTCCATGGTAAAAGAATACAGGTCCGAAACCGATTTTGGATTTGAAAATCTTGAATGAAAAATTATTGAAATTTGTAGATTTTTTGAAAAAATACATATTATTACAACCTCCGATTAGCATCGTATTAGAAAAGATATAAAGATCTAATTATTTCTGACAAAATACTTTAGAATTTTTTACAGGAATGCTGCCTATCTTTTGAGATATAATTTGCTGGAAACTTCTTGCAGGCAAGTAACGAGACAGATCTATTTTGAGGATAATATGTTGTCAAATGTATACAAGTAATAGAAATTTGTTAACATATGATTGCACAAGGTTACCTTCTTGATTCTACCAGGGCCGTCATAAAAATTGAAATTTTGACTTTAATAGGGAATAATAATACGTTTTTAATAATACGTTTTACAATTTTGGAATTAAACAATATTGAACTCATGGTAGAATTTAGAAGGTAAAATCATTTCAAATAAGCATATCCATCACTGCATTTTCTGTAAATTTCCCTGTCAGATTTCAATGCATAGAAAGCAGGTTAACATCTCTGCTTTGTGTATGTATAATGAATTTACAAGTATACATTTTGACAATGAGATGTTGTCAAATGAATAATTTTGAAAAAAATTGTAAACATATGATTGCTTGACTTTACCTTCATAATTTTACCATGATTGTACTTCTCCCTTGGACCTAATTTTGTAGAATATTCGCAATATTCTCCTTAAATGTTGTTGTTTTCCCGAATTCCAAAATTTTATTAAAATATTGTGCAACTAACAACAAAAAAAAATGTTGCATGTTTCGAAGTTTTTTTTTTTTTTTTTGACAGAATAAGACATTTGTGCAGAGTTGCATTTTTCCCACTTCCTTCGAAGTTAAACTACCTTTCTGGTTATGCTATGTTTCCTTCTATTAATAATACCCATGGTAAAACTAAGAAGGTAAAGTCATTTCAAATAACCATTCCCATCTCTGCCTTTTCTGTAACTTACCATATCAAAATTTCACTTCATAAAAATAGGTTCGCATCTCTCATTTGTGTGTATACAATTAATTTGTAAATATAAATTTTGACAGTGAGATTTTGTCAAATGAGTAATTTTGAAAAAAAAATGTAATCATATGATTGCATGACTTCACCTTCTTCATTCTACCATGGTTGCCAGTTTATCAAATGTTTATTTGACAGAATAAGACATTACTGCAGAGTTGCATTTTTCCTACTTCCTTCGAAGTTAAACCTTTTCTTCTATAAAAATTACATCTCTTCTCAACATTTTTATGCCAACATCGTTCAATTTGGCACTTACATAAATAAACTGGTGTCCAAACAAGACACGATCTTATGTCACTTCTGTGGAAAAATCAATTAAGATTCTGATCAAACATCGTGATTACAGCAAAAGAAACATAATAATAATAATAATGCACATTTCAAACATTTCTGCAAACAAATGTCAAGTGGCTGTATTTTCCACTTCCCTCAACTCCCCTAATCAAATTTGAATAGTAACCGAAGTGTGAAGACATTAAAATACATTACACAAGTCATATGGAAGAAAATATAAAAAAGTACGTTTTTTTGTTCTTGTTGCTGTTCTAAAATAATTTTATTTGTTGACAGGTCTCGGTTACTTTTATGGAGCGTTTAAATGCATGTTTTTTTTGTTATAGTCATCAACGATACAACAAACCTACAAACGTACGTAATATAGTCAACAGAGTAATGTGTTGAGATTTTCAAGTCTAGTTGTTCGTTCGACTTTGTTGCTGTTACTTTTTTTGGCCGACCTAATCAATGTTTGTCACGTTCAAGTTTAACATTTGTTTTTTTGAATTGCTGTAGCTGATATTATTGTTTCGTTCCACGTTAAATGACACTAGGCGACGCAAGAATTCTATTTCATTTTCATGATATGGTTGGCATTCTTTGAATTCAGACAGGTTTGTTGAAATGATAGTTCTATTGAAAAAGTAAGATGAGTTGTTTTTTTTTTGTGGAAAATTTGAATGAATGGTCAAAATTACTTTTCAATATCATGTTCTATATATCTCTTATGGTATATTTCGCGACAAAAACTGTAGATTTTGTCGATGCATTCGTTGCAATAAGCATTTTGAAAACATCCGAATTTGAATATTTTCTGAACAATTTTTTATTATTGAAAAGAAGACACACACATAAGCAAATGAAGTTGACATATTAAGCCAGAAAAATAAAAAAAATTAAGTCATATGGTAGTTTTGCCCTACCTTGAATTCATTGTACCATGCATAAAACGCTTTTATTCGGCTTAAGCCGTCGGCAAAAAGGAATAAAGAAGTTTTAGGTTGACTTAGTTCGATTTTGGCCCTACGCTCATTTGTTCTTTTCCGAAGAAGCCAGCATATGGCTTAAGCCAGTCACAAAAGCTTTTTATGTATTCTCACCTTAAGTCGAGGACTGGCTCGTGGTAGAAAAATACAGGTAGATGCATGAACGCTTGGGAACAAGGATATGTCAATTTTTTAGCGTTTTTTTTTAAATAAGTAGACTTTTATATGTTTTCTTAAACGACACCAATTGGAGGTTGTTATGATAAGCATTTTTCAACAATTTTTACAAATTTCAATAATTTTTCATTCAAAACTATCAATTAAGAAATTGGTTTGACAGTTCATTGTCCCAGCAGCGATGGCTTTTCGAAAGGAATTAGGGTGACCTAGTTTAAATTAGGGACCGAATTTGATCTAAGTAAACCTAAAACTCCTTTGTTTTTTATTTTCGCATTCTCTGTCGCCAAATTCAGCTGATTTTTTTTTTTGAATTGAAAAAAAATTGTGATTTTTTTCATTTTGTAATCCTGTGTTGACCGGATTAACGTTGTGTTGTTAAGATATCAAATTTGTCTCAACGAATTCGCAATTTTATTTTTCATCAAATTGATTGTTTTTGTTGTTTTTTGTTTTCTTTAAATTTATAAGCCTTAATAAATTTTACTAAATTGCAATTTTATCGTTGAGAATAGGCAATAGCCAAGTTTGTTGTTTTTTTTTATTTTTGGTGTCTCAATATTTTAACGCCACTCTCATGAGTTTGTTGTTAACCTTACAGTTGTGCAATGTTGTTGTTTATTGTTATTGTTGCTGTCGCTATTATTATGGCATCGACTAAATTAATCGCAACAATAATGTCAGTATTTAGAGTCAATATTTCAGTAGAAAGACAAAAATGAAAACAAAATGCGTAACATTCAAAAATAATGTTTCATTAAATGGGTGTTTTGTAGTGACCAGCCAGCCTACAATCAGCTGTTTGGCCACCAATTGATTTAGTGTTATTAAGAAATTATTTATAGCTTATATGTGGCCATAATTATGTTCTATAATAGCTTAATTTAAATTGTGGATTGTAAAAAAATAAACTTGATCGGATAAACAAATCCTAAGATAAATTGAAAATAAAAATTTGCAGTTCATGTATTTCACAACTGAAATTTCATCAATGTATCACACGATGTGTGCACTTCTATGTATGGAAAATTTGACACTACATATGTAATACCCTTATCGTCTGCATAGCAGGTTAAGGGAGTTACATACTGTAACATGAATTTGTCGGAAAATTAGAGAAACATGATAAATCGACTTGATTTGTAAATGGAAGAACGAAATCTTAATTGTTTAGACCATTTCTAATGAGAATCAGCTGTTCTTTAAAGTAAGTTCAAAGAGTAAACCATGGTAGAAGAATACAGTTAGATGCATCAACGTTTGGGAACATTGATATGTCAACATTTTTAAAATGTTTTTTTTTTTAAAAATAAGTAGATTTTTATATGCTTTCTTATACGCCACTAATCGGAGGTTGTGATGACATGCATTTTTCAACAAGTTTTACAAATGTCAATAATTTATATCCGATCTTGACTTGGTAGAAGAATACAGGTAAATGCATCAACGCTTGGCAACATTGATATGTCAAAAAATTGTTAATGTTTTTTTTTTTTTTTTCAAAAATAAATAGATTTTTATAAGTTTTCTTATACGATACCAATTAGAAGTTGTTATGATATGCATTTTTCACAAAATTTTACAAATTT